CCTAGTTATTATACTTCTGATGGCAAGACATTTGTCATGCTTTTATTCTCTCAACTAACATCAACTCAGTGGCTACTAAGCACGGCTAGGTATTGTAGGGCGTCAGCAGAGAAAAAATACCTACCACTGACTGGACACCTACAGGGTGTCAGGACTACGTATCAAAGCACAGTGGTCCCCCAAAGTCAGTGTGGCTGCTCCCGATTTATGGATAAGGCAACAAGGGCACCTAGGAGGTGACACAGTTTAGGTTCAAATCTGGGTCCGTCAACTCTTACGTCCACTAAGCTACAACCCCCCCATCAAGAAGCCACTATTAGTGGAGAGAAGACGCAGACGTAGCTGCAGATGTATGCATTGACACAGATGTGTATATCGAGGTTTGACAACCCCAGCCCAGTCTTTCACATGGCTTTGCTTTTGAGCTAAGATGGCCTTTCCATTTTTAAGTGGTGATGGAGAAAATCAAAAGAATAATAATACTTGTGCCATGTAAAAGCTATATGTTTAAATTTTAATGCGTCCAAATAAAGTTTTATTGAAACATGGCCCTGCCCATTCATTTATCATCTAGGGCCACTTTCCTGGCTACCAGAGCACTGTTGAATATTGGTGAATACTGTCTAGTCTCAAAGATGAAATGTTCTTTAGCATAGGGAGAGTTTTCAAATGCTTTGAGAGTTGAGAAAAGAGGAGTCTAATATGTATTTGGCCCACAGTGTTAGAGCTACAGGCGACATACAGGTGTGCTCTGTTTTAAGATTCAGTGCCCGAGAACCTAGACTTTAAAACAGATCAATTAAAAGGTGCTTATTTGCATAACAAGGTTTCCTTTTCATTTTATAAAGGGATTCACCACAGGGTTCCTGTGTAGAGTGAGTCTCCATAATGCATGCTAATATGATTCCATTTACAAATACTCTATTCATAATAACTTTTCAAGAACATTCCTATTGTGTACAGTGGAGTTGAGCTATAATCATTTTTCCCTGGTAGCATAAGGTTTCTTGCTTCTAAAAAGTAATTGAGCCAACTTTATCAATTTCACCGGGAGACGAAGCCCTCTCTGGATCATCTCCAAGAGGGAGGGCCTTTATCTGACCCAGAGAAGGGTAGTGATGCCCCCAGGGCCACACACCTGCAGCCCCAGCCACTCAGGAGGCTCAGACAGGAGGATCAGCTCAGCCTCCATGTTTAAGGGGGGCTGGACGTCCCCGCGAGACCCCATCTTAGAGGAAGACAGGGTGTGGGGGAATAAAAGAAGGAAGAAAGAGAGAGACCGTGAGTTCTCCAGGTCTGAATTATGTGACATTCATTAGCTGGAATAATTTTTACTTTTTTTTTTTTTTGCTGCGTGTCTCCTGGAAACTGTGACCAAAACCCTAAAATGTAAACTTCATCGTTAACTTCATCATACACAAATAAACTAATACAAATTACATTTGTGGCTAATGTCCTGAGAAATATGCAACCAGCGGGACTTACAAAGAGCAATGTCTCTCCCTCTCTCTTTAAAATTGCAAGGCATTATGTTATCTAAATTACAACATAAACTGGGGCAAGTATCAAATTAGAGCTGTCCCCAGCAAAATAGGAAGTGGTATCACTGATTCAATTTTGGACTTCGCTCCCTCTTTTGTTGGGTCCTGAGCCGGAATCTTTGCCTAGCTTTGCGGTGTTATGCAATTGCTCTTTTTAAGACATATAAAATGGAAACCTTGGCTATTCATAGCCAACTTAGGAGGAGCTGAAACTGTTCAAGAAGTTTCTTGCCCGGTACCATTTTGATGATAAGTAGGTTTCTGAACAAATCCACTTAATCTGGCATTTAAATGGAGGTAATTTTAAAGAGCTGTGTCCTGCTTTTTGTTTTCATTCACCGGGCTGACTGTATTTTAGAAGGAGGCAAGTATTCCTGGTGTACAGCCTGAATATTTTTCAGCTTTTTTATGGCAAAAGAAGGTTAAATGGAAATGGAAGGGCAGGAAAAAAAAATCATGTCGGGGCAGTCCTATATGGCCTCACCCCGCAGTGAAGCAGGTCTGTGTCGCGAGGCTGCTAATGGATAACGCGTGGGAGAGCCGCAAGGGGCTGCCGAGCAGCAGAGCGGGTGTCCAGGGCCCACAAATGGCATCATCAGCTGGGCTGGGGGAGGAGGCTGCCGGAGGCAGCTTGGCTGACCCTGGAGGCTGCAGCTCCTCACACCGCGTGGCAGGTGGCATTTCAGCCATTTCTAAAGCTGATCACTGGCAGGGAGAACACGTGGGATCCATCTGTGAGGCTTCTGAAAAGGGGCCCTCTCTTCATCTCTCCCAGAGGTCAGAAGACTAAAATGACAAACAGCAGTGAGAAGGCACCACTGCATTCCTCAGTTTAGGCTGCTGTGTCCTCTCTTCTCTTTCCCTCTCTCCCTCTCTCTACCAGTTTTTCTCTCCATCATATATATATATATATATATATATGTATATATATATATGTATTTTTTTCCCCAAGATGCAATATGTACTGGTGGCAGGTACAGATTGCACAACAAATCGATACATACAGAATAAACCACATTGGTTCAGTTTTCTTTTCCCCGGTGGTACTTTTGACACTTTTTAAATGAACACTAATAGATATAGAAAAATAGGGACATAAGTTTCTATGCTTTTCAATGATCAGAGAAAAGACCAACCTCTGGGGGAGTTTGTGAAGCCCTTGGATCTGAACGAAAACAGAGCCTACTCCAATCTACCTTGAACTTCTCCCTCCCACCATCCCGCAGCTGAGCAGATTTCATTTCATAAATGGAAATGGGAGCAAATTCATTTTTTGCAAAGTGATTTCATGAAGAGCAGGCTTGTTTAATTGGGTTTTTGGAGCCAAGATTAATATTGCAAGCTGGGGAGCTCTGTAATACGCCTATGTCACTGGTTTTGCTGCAATGCCGGCCTAAGGGGGGAAAGTGGAACGTAGTGACATTATTTAGAAGCAATTTTATTCTGCCTCGGTCTTCTTACCCATGTAATTTACAGCCAGCCTGGACCAACCACCCAGACCTGAGCTAAGTTTCGAGTTATATCAAAGAGGTCTTTCCAAACTCAAGGTCACACCTAGAACATGCTTTGGATATTTCTTTAAAAAAAAAATTCTAATTTATGTGAGTTTCTGATGTGCTTAGCAGTTGCTCCCTTCTTGTCTCCATTCTGCTTATTAAGGTAAATTTGCACGGAAATGGGATCAGAACACTCAGGACCCTTCACACGACACTTGATCTTTTGAGGTCCTGTGGATGCTATGACGGTGACCCACCCAAGCCAGTCTCCCTGCAAAGCTCAGCAAGGCTCTAATTAGGAGAAGCTTTGCATGTTAATGTAATAGAGTCAATCAAACATGCAAAAGCATTTAGCATTAAGGAAGGAGGGCAGAATGCCCCTTCCTACTTAGGGTGTCAGCCAAGGTCACAAAAATGTTGACTTGCCTTAGATGGGCCAATCTTGTAAAAAGTGTACAAGAAGTGATTTTGTGATGTTGCCATTTGCAAATAAGTTTTGACTGGTGAAAAAGCTCAGAATCAACTATGACATTTTATTTGATTTCTGAGCTATTTTTTGCTTAATATCTACCTTTGGATTGGTAATATTCGTCACTCCAAATTACCCCTGGGAAACCAGGCAAATGTAGAACATCAGAGACATGAGCCCCTTGCTATCACCCTGTCACAGTCGGAGTTAATCCTCTGAGCTCTCCCTGCTACACTCTGCTGCCTGCTGCCACCTGCCTTATTTACCTAAATCTTGTCTGCTGGGGCAGAAATTCCCACTGAGAGGACAATGGTGGCCCCAGTTTACTGATCACTAAAAGTCTACTGGGTTTGAGGGTTGCTTATTAACTCACCCGAAGTGGCTGAGATTTAGGGAAATTTTTAAAAACATAAATGCCAAGCCTCAGCTTTCCTGTTTCTGCCCTGACAGTAAGCTGTCTTAGCAGAGAATCAAAGGATTTGATAGTTGTGGAGATTAAGTGTCACGTTACAGGAAGAAAAGTTTATAGGCGATGAGAGACATCAAAAGAAACTTGTGCCATATCTGGCTGCTAGGCTGCTTTGACTGGGGAAAGAGTCATTCCATAAATTTATTTTAAAACATATATATTATTTGAGTGATTATGTTGTATAATACTTTCATCTATTATTTAATTTCAACCCACAACTTTATCCATTGAATCCAATGATCTCCATTTCATAAGCAAGGAAACTGAGGCTCCAAGAGGTTTAAGAGTTTGCTCAAGATCATACAGCTATTTACCAGCAAAAGAAAGATTCTGCCCTGTTCTTTTTATGATGTCCCTACAGGGTCTTTTAAAAAAATAACTGTATTTCACACTCCGTGTAGTACGTAGGCTGACTCATTGATTTTTACACAAAGCCCACAATTACCAGGAGGGGCCAGGACGTTAACTCAGTTCAGAAATATCAAAATCAAAATTCCTGAAATGTATTTTGGTTCATGCTCTCATGATGTAATGAGTGATCTGACCAAGCTGGAAGTTTCCCAGCCCAAAGGCCAAACTCGTTCCTACTCTGAAATATGTGGAAGAAGAACTTCCAGTTCCCTATTGGCCAATGAGTCTAATTCTCTTAAATGATTCCCATGTAAAAAAGAAAATGGCATCTGTCTAATTAACACCGCCTGGTTAAATATAGCTGCCAAGGGACAGCCTCGGGACAGTGTTTACAGAGCAGTCTTGTAGCCACGAGGCCTTGAATTCCGGTTGATAGCAAGCCTTCTGTCCTTATCAACTGGAAGCAGAGATGTACCAGCAGCGGTGACAGGCCAGCCTAGGCCAAGGGAGATGAAAGGAGGGGGGAAAGGCTATTGCTGGCCTGAATTTCCTGCTCCTGGCAGCTGGAGATTCAGAGAACGATCCCAGGAACCAGATCCCAAAGGCTCTCACAACCCGAGCTGCAAACACAAGCCCTTGCTGGAAACCTGAGTCTTGTTCTCCAGCCAGCAGCAAATATTCACTCGGCCACTGTCCTCCCAATTGCTGAGACTGCCAGGCAGGGCCATCTGTTCTGCGGCCCTTCCCCTGGCGGAACGGCACAATGACTGTGTTATTTCTCTTCCAGCTTCGCGTCACATCATGGAAGCTGTTGCCAAGTTTGATTTCTTGGCCTCCGGTGAGGATGAGCTGAGCTTTCACACTGGAGATATCCTCAAGGTAGGTGATGGGGGGAGCGGCCCCAGGGCAGCTACAGGAAGTTAAGTTTTCATTGACCACTGGTCTGGCCACTGAGGTTGTCTAGCAGCCCAAGTCTTTGTCCATGGAAGAATTGTACTCAGTTCTTTTTAGAAAAAGAAATTCACCTTTACCCAATGGATTCTTCTACTTCCACATGCCAAACACCAGGCCAGATAGCAGAAATACAGACCTGACCTAAGGCACCAGGCTGGCCCTGAGATCCTCATGGTCTAGAGGGGGAATACAGCCATCAGAGGGCTGTCACTTAGCTCAGTGCTCAGTGAGTGACAAGCGATTCCACCTTGAAAGGTGAGCATGGCAGGAATGTGTAGTAGTGTGAATGTCAAGGACACAAGTCTTTTGGACCTCTTGGTAGAGCTCAGAGATGTGAATGGCCACACTGAATGCAGCAAGCACTGCCAGGATCCCCATGGCCGGGACTTAGAAGAGGGTACAGGTGGAGACAGCCAGGGAGAGACAGCTGGATCGGATGTGGCGCAACAATGTCCACGCATACCTGGCCACTCGTAGGCTCCTTACAACTTCTCTGCAACCTGCACTTGAGCTCTAGTGGCCACTTGTGGTGTTGGAGTGGCCTTGGGCTTTGCCCACAATTCCAGGCATTATGTGTGTAAGTCTCCTGAGGTCCACCTTTTTTTTTTTTTTGAAGAATGCAAGCCCTTCCAGAGGGTATCTGGGAGTATATGATGCTGTCCTTCCCTGGCCTGGCCTCAGAGCACCCTCAGGGAGCATAGTCCCTGTCCTTAGCAGCTGCGTGCCAAAGGGAATCACATGCTGTACAGAGCACTGGCATGGAAAAGGTGACTGGGAAAGTGTCCTTGGAGCACAAGTGACAACGAATGCCTTCATCTGGAATTCAAGCACCCTCAGTCCATAGCCTTCTAATTGCCCTCAACTGAGAAGATCTAGTGATAAGGTTGCAAAGAGTAGCACTTAATGTTGAAGATTTGCAAGCTCAAAATATTGCCTGAGCTGCTAAAAGGGCTTTGACTTCTTTGGGATGACTTACCAAAGTCATCAAGGGACTTGCAATGTGGTGACCATGTCATTATCAACCACAGTGAGGCATTCTCCACTTGGAAGAGGCTCAAGACCGCTCCTACATTCTTCCATTGCAAATAGAACCTAATATCTTGCTTGAGTTGTCCCTATTCCTTGGAAAAGGGAAAAGGAAAAAGACAAAACAAAACTCTGCTTCCCAACCCAGCTTCTTCTTTCTTTTTTCTATTTTATTGCCCCAAATGGACAGTTTCTCCATACTGAATACTGAACACCTTCCACTTTTTCCCTTCCCCCCCCTGGAATCTTCCTTTCGCCTGTGACAACCTCTTCAAGCCTACCGGTGAGTGCCCTCCTTCATGTGGACTCTAACAACTCTCCCCCAGGATGCACCTCTGCCAGCCGCCCCTTCTCTGAGGCTCTCAGCCCTTGCTCAGGTGGTATCCACCACTTCTGTCCTCTTCCTCTTTCCTCTGCACTCCTCTTGGTTTCACTTTCAAATGCTCCTTTTCTTGGTAGCCTGAGAGTCTAACTTCCCTGTGGTTCTACACTTAGCATTTTGATTTTCTTTTTACTTTGTGCCTCCTCATCCACTCCTCCAATTTCCCGCTCTCCTCTGAGGGTGACTCCAGCTCTCTCCCTTGAGTCCCAGACACACATTACCAATTGCCTGCCACTGGACTCTAGTCCTGACCCACTGAAACCTCCACATCTATTTAACCCCCTCACCTTTCCCACTCTGTGTTGGCCAGTTTTCCTATTACTGTGACAAAGTGCCCAAGAAAAACAACTTAGAGGATAAGACTTATTTTACATCACAGTTTCAGAGGTGTCAGTCCATGGCTAGCTGGCTCCATTGTTTCTAGGCCTGTGCTGAGGTGGAGCATCATGTGTAGCAAAGGGGCTTACCTTGTCCTGACTAAGAAGCAGAGACACAAAGAGAGAGATACCAGAAGTGTTTAGGGAGAGCATACTCCATTCCCCAGAGACCCACCTCTTCCAATGAGGCCTCATCTCCTAAATTTTTCACACTTTTCAATAGCATTGTCAGACTAAGGCTTTCTCACACAAGCCTTCAGGGCCATTCCAGACCCAATTATAACCTCTCTTATCCATGTTCTAAGGGTCACCAGAGGTCAGTCACCAAACTAGCAGCCTCTGTAGTTATCTCTATCACCCTTGCATAACCAACCAGTTGACTACGAACCAACATCTCCTAAGCTCCAGTTCAGATTATTGGCCTGGCTGGATGGTTTGTAGGCATCTTTCCAGCATTATTTCAGCTCAGCAAATGTATGAGATAGGAAATACTTTTTTCTCCACTAAACAAATGTGAAGTTGAGGATGAAGGAATTAAATCTCATGCACAAGGTCATACAAGTTGACTGTGCCTAAGCCAGTGTTGAGGGAAGCTCTGTCTGACCCCTAAACACTATAGTCTGCTCTGAATAGTTTTCTTTCCTCATATCTCTCAAGCTCTTTGTCACTACAATACTTTAAAAAGGAACTTGGGTTTGGCAGCCAACTAGAAATGATTTTGACTTCAGTTTACTAGCTGTGTGACCTTGGCCCAAGTTGCCTGTCCCCTCTGAGCTTCAGTGTCTTTCTTTATCAGTGGAGAGAGTATCAATCCTTCAGGGTCCTGGCCCAAAGCAAATGCTCAATAAATGGTCACTGTGTTTTCAGTATATCCACCCTGTTCCCTCTGCCTGCTCAAAATATTGCCAGAACTGCTTGGCTGACCTCATTGCCTCCTGTCCCTCCCTCCTTCAATCATTCCATATATAGTCCCAGAAGGATTTTTCTAGAAGATAAATCAGATCATTTCATTTTCTTACTCTAAAGCATTCAATGCCTCTTCATTACCAATTGATTGAAATCTAAACCATCTGGCCCCAGTGCCCTGTCCAGCCTCATCATGCGTCCTTGTGCACATGATGGCCCCCAGATTCCACTGCAACATGCACACCATCCTACCCAGGCACTCCCTTAGACTCTGAGCGCCCATTTCCCCAACACACATACAGTATTTGATCACCTCTGCCAAGGAACCTTCATCAATCTTCCCCGTTCCTTACCACCCAGCAAATAATTCCTCCACCTTCAGCTCTTCCCTGGCATTTTGCACACACTCTTCACTCTGAGGCACTCATAATCTTGCCTCAACTGACAGCTAGAGATAGTCAGGCTGTGCCCTTTGGTCTGTCTCTCCCCGTGCCTTACTCTATGGACTCGTAATTGCCCACTTCCACATTACCTAACCACTCCCCTAACCTTTGTAAAAGCAGAGACCATGTCTGCCTCAGTATCTCCAATAGCACAAAGCCAGCCCTCCCCAGTGTTTGATGGATGAGTGAGTGGTGGCGTCCTGTACTGGTGAGCTCCCTGAGAGCCGGGTGCATTTTTGTATCTTCCAAGCATCAAACACAAGTCATGGCCCCAAATAGTTTACCCAGTGTGTATTTTTTTTTTTAATTGTTAGGTTGCCTTTCTGCGTGCTCATTTAGAATTCTACCCCTCCCCTCTTTTCAAATTCTGCCCATTATAGCTATAATGGTAAAGATAAGAATGCAGAGTGTGTTCCTGAGCTCCCCAAATGTCAAATGATGTCCATTAAAGCCGGTGTCATGGCTCCCTGGCTGCAACTACAGCGTCAGCTCCTCCCATCCTGAGATAGGAACCACACTGGATCCTCACGATCATTTTCAAAACCATTTCTTAAATGCTCCAGCAGCTCACTTTGGGGTACCCTTTTCTCTCATTCGCCCTTTGGTGCTAAGAGTAAACAGAGACTTTCATTTGAAAGGTATAATAACAGGTCTGACTAGCTAACAACAACCAACTTCTCCAGACTATTAGGTTCTTAAGATGCAAGCCCCAGGCTTACTCATCTCTGTATTCCTAGCACCTGGTGCAAACTGCAGGTGCTTAGTAGGTGTTGATCTGCACAAGACAGTAAACAAGATGGACAGGGAACTCCTGCCTAATGTGTTCATCTTTCTTTTCCTGAGAGAAACATTTGGAAAGTCAGGAATCCAATTTTTTTTAATAGGACAGTTCATAGTACAAGATGCAGACATGATATCCTGTCGGACACTATTAGTACAAATCTTTCTTCTCTTTGAATTAAGAGAGGAACCCAACTTTTCATGTTCATGTCACAAATCTCCATACCTGTAGCTATGCACAGCGCCAGCTTTATGTTGGAACCTGCCATTGAAAGTTTCCAATGGGGCCAGCAAGATAGCTCAGCAGTCTAAAGCTCCTGCTTAGGCAAGCTTAGGTAAGCAGGCAGGGACCGCGGTTCCATCCCCCATACCACATTCCATGCCAGCCCAGCTCCCAGGGTGGGCTGAGCCAGCCACCAAAAAAAAGCCGATCACTTAGAAAAATATCTATTGACCTCATCCATTTCTACCCACTTCAGTAATGTGTCCAATTCAACCCCATTTCTTTCTTCTAAAACAGTGACCCCAAAGCACTAAGTGTTAATCCTATATAATTAACTTCCTTGATGCTTCAGATTTCTGCTATGCCTCTAAGAGCTGTAATTCCACCCAATTTTAAATTTTTTTCCAGATGTACTTTTGGTCTTTCTCTTCCCACGTCTAACTTATTCTCAGGCCATGTAACCTAGAAAATTATTCTCCTCGGGAACATTTTAAGAAGTAAGATACGGCAATTTCAGTACAAGACTTCTTAGGGTTAAGCTGAACTCCTTGCTTGGGTTTATGCGATGGATAAAGAGATAGGGAGAACGGAATCGATGGAGAGATGAGAAGAACAGGAAGTCACAGGGCTCTGGGCTCGCAGCGGTGGGAGGAACCCCCCACCCTCACCGGAATACTTTACAGAAAATGAAGGGGTTTTTTAAGACCTTGCCTTTTGCACACCACAAAAAGCCTGTAAATTCAGCTCTCTGAAAACACAATCTCAGGCAGACCAAGCCACCAGGTGGTGGAGACAAATGGCCAGCATTAGGGGATAATCTGTTTCTAAAGGAGGTGGTTAGGTGGGTTTGAACCGTGATTACTCAAATTACATCTGGTGCAGGTCAGAGAACAAAGTACAAAGTGCTGGTTGGTAGTCTAATAAGCCAATTTCCAAATGACCCCTTTCACACCTTTGGATTTGACATTTGCTCCCCTGGCCAAACACCATGTTTTGGAGAAAGGGATGTCAAAGTTGTAAATCCATGTGTGGTGGCACTGAGGGAAATGGCCACATGTTCCTCAGAGGGATGTCAGGCGCGGCAGCTACATTTCCTGGTTCTTCTTTTGACCTAGAAATGCTGCTTCCCCATCACCCCTTCAGTATACACATGCCCACACGTGATGTAAGAAACTATAGTTTTCTGTTTTCAGCAGTTCTCAAACTCAAATATGGGAAACAGTTTTATTTCTTCTGAACAAACGAGCACATGCAAAACATGGGCGCATTATGTGTTCAGGAACTTATCCCTTCCATGTCCTTCAGAGCAGGAGTCCTCCCTCACCAGGGTATCATATTTGAGAGAGTTCTAATTTTTAAAAAGAATGTATGCTATCAGAAGGACTTTCTGGTGCCAGAACTCCCTTGACCCTCACCAGTACCAGCTCTAGGAGGTACCAGGGTTATTTTTTCTCCTGTTTTCCAGACAGCTAATTCACCTGTCCAGGATCACACAGCTAGTGGCAAAGCCAAACTAGAAAGGAGGGCTTCTCTTTCCGCACGCAACGCACTCTGCTTTCTTCCACCTCAGGAGTGATGGTAGAAGGTCATCACTGCTTCTCTCATTGCTTTTCTTGCTAATTGCACGGAGCTCTCTGCAATTCTCTTCCCAGCTTTTTCTCTGGGAGAAAGGAACCCCTGGGGCCCAGGACTCCAACTCTGCCCATTCTTGGATGACTCCAGACTCGTCTCAGGCCCCCCACTTCCCTCCTGAGTCCAGCACACACATCAATGGCTCATTGGGCTTCTCTTCTTAGTTGAATTCAACTCTAATTCACCCGAGTGCAATCTACAGTCCGTGAGTCCTTCCGGCTCCTCCTCCTCCTTCCTATTTCAGTAAAGCCATCACCACCCACTCAGTCTCCTAAGCTAGAAACCCAGACCCCTCCCAGGATCTCCATCTTCCTTGGCTCCCCAGAATGGTCCCCAAATCCTACCTGTTTTGTTCATTGATTCCTCTAAAATATGTCCTCACCTCCTCCCAGCCCTGGCTCCATCATCTCTTCTAGTCCCAACGGCTACACTCATCTTCCTCTAGTTCTTACTGTCCCTAACCCCATGTCCAGCTCCTTTACATTCCAGTAGACTCTTTCTTAACTCTCCTTCTTACCGCTATATCCCTGCTTCAAATCTTTTCGTGTTCCCTTAAGCGTCAAGAGAAAATCCCAAGTCTTCAACTCAAGACTTGGGATGAGTCTCAAGACCCTGCGAGCTGCTTCCCCTTTATCTATTCCTGGTTTCACAGTCTAAGCTCCAGCCGTACTGAGGCACAGTTCTCGGAAGGCGCCTACTTTGCTTGTGCCCTAGAAGTGGTTCCTTGACCACCTGACTTCACTAAATAATTCATTGTCTGTGGAGATGGCCTCTCATCAGGGCAGTCTTTCCTGTCTATCTTCTGCTCTTCCTTTAATCTTAGTGATTTGAGCCATTAAGGCTTTTCAGCTATAAGAAACAGAAGATAGAAATGGCTTAAACAGAAAAAGTTACTATTTTTTGAAGTCCAGAAGTCGGGAGGCTCTGAATGGTTCATTCGGTGGCTCACTGGCATTGTCGAGATTCATGTTCTGCTTTACATCCTATTTAGAATTACTATTCAGGGGACCAGGGATTTAGCTCAGTGATGCAGCACCTGCCTGGCAAGCATGAAGTCCTGAGTTCAATTCCTGGTGCTCCCCTCCCTCAAAAAGAGTTATTGTTCAGAACTATGTCACATACATTAGAAACATTCTCAGTGGGGGTGGCAAATATTTTTCTTTCAATGGTGAATCTCACTTTCTGAAATAACTAGAAGCTACCCAGAACCAAGTGTGGTGAGTAATATGGGTAACTGAGGTAGGTAACAACTTGCAGGGCAACAGTCACGATAGGACCATGTAGTAACAGAACAAGACTTTTGGTTTTACTGGCTGCAAAAGCAAGTTTATAGAAGGCATCCCAAGTATCTTGAATCTTGTCCCAACTATTTGCAAAATGCAGAGTGTGAACAAAAACAGCTACTGTTTTCAAAGCTGGTCTACTTGGATGTCTACATTTTCATCTATGTGCTTGAAAAAAACTAAATCTCCTAAAGTTTCCTGGTTATGGGAAAGAGAAGAAAACCCCATTCTTGCCTTCCCACCATCTTCCTAAATGAGAAACTGAAGGTACTGCTAAAGTCTGGAACAAAGAAATTCCCAAACAGAAGGACAAAGGGATTCAAGAGAGTCCCTGCATGCTGGTTCTGGAAGGCCGAGCACTGGTGACATGAGTGGGTGGCCTTCCTCCCTCCCCTGATGCGCTAACTTCTGCAGCAGTTGTCATTAAATATGTCCCCAGAAAGCTTTCTCTAAATCCCAAAGGATGTTCTTTAACCTAGAGCCCCCTCCCCTTGCTTTTCCAATGTACTCCCTGTGGTATCTCTATCTGGCTCTCTCCCACAGATCTTAAGTAACCAAGAGGAGTGGCTCAAGGCAGAGCTTGGGAGCCAGGAAGGATATGTGCCCAAAAATTTTATAGACATCCAGTTTCCTGAGTAAGTATTTCCAGCATGCTGAGATTGTTCTACCCACACATTCTCCCCTTACTTTTTTTTCAGTCATCACTAAAATTATCCAGGCATTCTAAAGTTACTGTCAAAACCCGTGGTCTCTGGAGGTCCCCCCTCCCCCGGCAACAGGGCCTCCAGAACCACACAGCGGAAGGCCAGGGGTAGGCGGAAGATTTGCATTGCATTGCATTCCCTTTTGAAGCTTATACCATGGGCACCTATCACCTACTTTGAGTTTTTATAAAGTAAGTTCAAAAATTAAAATCACCTATGATGATTGCGATTGCAGTTTCTGAAAGTTCCAAAGGGGGCGCTGTTGGCCACCCCACCTCCGAAGCTGCTATTCGAGGAACTTCTCCGTTACTCTTCAATGTTACCTTCTGTCTTAACCAGAGATGGGCAGATGGACACTCGCTCCTTCCTTAAAGCAGGCTCGCCCCCGCGAGAGAAGTCAGGAGGGGCAAGGAGGAAATTCCCTCCAGAAAGAGGAAATGAAACACCGAGATTGAGTCTCGTTAGTCTCAAGAATTGACCACAAGGATTAGATAGAAATCTAATCTTGTCTCAGAGCCAGGGACCAGCCTAAAGAGCAAAGGTTTGTTAGAAACCCCGCGTGGTATGATGACGCCGCCGAGGTGCAGAGCGCGGCTGTCAGTCACCCAGTACCGAGCCGGAAGAATGATCTTGACTGGATGACCCCTTCATTCTTACCTTCCGTGCTTCCAGCCCCTCCCCCTGCCTCGGGGGTCAGAAGAGGTCCCTCGGCCCCTTGATCCTTTCCTTCCTCCTGCAGCGCTCCACCCCCGCCACATCTAACCCCCTGCAACCGTGCTCAGACACTCGGCCTTTCTGCAGCTGTCTGGAAGGAGCTGTCACTGCTTCTAACGGAAATTCTCTCCTCTTCCCTCTCTCCCATCCACTTTTTCCCTTTCTGCTGGATCTTTCCCATTAGCGAACACATATGCTGCAATCCTCCCATTTAAAAAAAAAAAAAATCAGCGAAGGAGAAACCCTTAATCCCCAATCCCTTCCGACTCCCACTTCATTTCCTCCTACAGTTGGCACTTCCAGCTCCTCACCCCCTCTTCTCTCAGGAACACCGCAGCACCTTCCTAAATCTCCTCACGAAGGTTGTGGTGAACTATAAGTCTCAATGGTCTGTTCTTGGCTATCATCTGAGTGCTGCAGGACCTGGGGATCTGTCCTTCCCATGGGAACCCACTGTCATCCTGCCTCCTGCCCTGCGCTGTGGCCTTCCCACCTTGCTGGCTGCTCCTCCCTGGCTCCTTTGCTGTGTCTGCTCCATCTCCCCACCCTCCTTCAGGTCTAGAATGCCCCCCTCGGTGAGGTCTTCCTTATCATATATTTTAAAGGACTCCCCAAGCCCCCACACCCTGTTCCTCCTCCTAGTGTTTATTTCTCCACTGTACTAAGCATCCTCTGGCATACCAATGCATTTGATTGCTCTGTTTATGGTCTATCTCCCCCATTCCAGGTCCTTAACTGGGGGTGGCTTGTCCGTTCTGCCCACTGGTGCCCAGAAGAGGGTCTGACACAACAATAGATGTTCAACAAAAGCTGCTAAATAAGTAGTTTCAGAATGACACAGAATATTAAAACACAATGTGTGGACATTTTGGGAAGTCTTGAAAAAAATCACTTATCCAATTCAAGTTCAAGAGCAAATATATTTTATTTCTTTTTTCTTTTTTTTTTTTTTTTTTTTTGGCAGAACCAGGGATTGAACTCAGGCCCTTACACTTGCCAGGGAAGCGCTTAATCCACTGAGCCATTTCCGTGGCCCCTTATATTTTCTTTTTAAGAACAGGTATATTTTCTAAAGACCCTGATCTGCCCGTTGCTACCTCTTGGGAAATCCTTTTTGTTTATTTGTTCATTTTGTTGTTGCTGTTGTTGTTTGTGCTCTGGCTGCTGTAGTCCCAGACTTGGGAGGCTGAGGCAGAAGGACTGCAAGTTCAAGGCCACCTTGGGCTACACAGTGAGCTTAAGGCCAGCCTGCATTACATGAGACTGTGTTTCAAAAAGAAAAAGAAAGAAAAAAGACTATGTATTAGCCTCCTGGTGGCAGCAATTAGTGCAGCCACCTTGAAGCAGCCGTGCTACTGCCCCACCTTTGGCTGCCAAGTGACTGCAAACACTCATTTTGCTTTTCTGAGCTTGAGGGAGGTTTCTGACCTCCTGCCCTGTGGCTGTGACTGCTCTTTGCCTGGCCCCGCATAAGTGCTTGACTTTTTCACACCCACTGCGCTGTGTGCAGCACCGTTCTGGAGCCTGCGCCCACCCATACTGCACTTTGGAGAATCTAGTCTTGTTTCTTCTTTTCTGTGGTAAAGATGATTTTCCAGCTTCGAACGGGGGTGGGGGTGGAGATGGAGGCGCCTAAAGAATTGTCCATGAGGGAAGCCACCGGAGCTGCCTGTGTAGATGCCACTCACCAACTGCTGCCAGTCTGACTCATCTGCAAGTGTACGTGGCCCCTTGGGTGCCTGGCGCCCTCTGATCTGAACCGTGAGCTTAGTGCCCATGTACTCCACATATCCCAGGTAGCCCCCAGCCTGTCATTCCCCTCCAGTGCCACCTGGGGTGATCTCTGGGCCACTGAAGTCTTAGCCTAGAGTAAGTGTCCCAAGTGCTACCCAGCCAGCTGCCTTGGTGACCCCAGTGCCTACAGCATCGCCTTCCCAGTACATCGTTTGTCCTGCAGTACTTTGCTGTCCCTCAAACAGCTGCGCAGGCAGGCGGCTGCTGCCCTCAGTGAGTCACTCCCACACGGCTCCGTTTTGGTACAGTGGCACATTTCCATGACTCAAGTTTTCCAGGCTGGAGAGAACCTGGAGGGAAGAAACAAAGGAGGGCGAGTCAGAAGGGACACACACTGGCTTTTTCTAAAAACTACTGGAGCTTTTGTTTGGTTCCAAAAAGCACTTGGATTCCCCACTCCAACCCTACTCCTTAGGTTGGCCTGTCTGCTCCTGACTGAACAGGTCCCCAGCCTCCCTTTCCAGGGTCACCTCTTCTCACTCTCCCCTCATCATCATGCATCTTGTCATGATCCTCTTGTCCTATCTTCCCTCATAGGTGGTTTCACGAAGGCCTCTCAAGACACCAAGCAGAGAACTTACTTATGGGCAAAGAGGTTGGTTTCTTCATCATCCGGGCCAGTCAGAGCTCCCCAGGGGACTTCTCCATCTCCGTCAGGTACTGGCTACTCCCAACAAACCCTGACCCTTCCCAGCCCCTAACTGCCCATACTGCTGGAGCCAGGAAGTGACTTCTCTAACACGCCGCAGGGATCAGAAGCATGGTGACTAAGGGGACCGAGCATAGTGACATCTTATCAACTGTGCTGCTGCCCGTTTCCTTCCCAGAACATGCATCCATAACCCTTAGTACGTTGGTTTGTGTACAAAAGTATACACATGTGCATTCATCTGCCTCCCCATCTCACCCAGGTGCATCCGGGAGGGCGGGATTTTTATCTGCTTCATCTTTGTGCTCATCGCAGAGACTACCACAGTGCAGATGATTGAGGTGCACTCGTGGAAGGGGGGGAGGAGCAAAGGAAACAACTTCTCTTGACCATATTCATCCGGGCGTTTAGCATCTTAACCTTTTCTATTACTACTGATGTCCGGCTGCAGAAGAAGGGTCAGAGAAATGTAGAAATCCTAAGTCACTGCTATCTGGTGTTTGTACAGCTGAGCACAAAGCAGAATGGCTTCAACACATTCTGGTGCAGTGAAACCGAGACCAACAGAGCGAGGCAGAGGAGAGCCAGGTGGGGGGACTGCAACTGCAGAATGTCGCTCCTGTGCAACACAAGCGAGAAAGTGACTCAGTCTAGGCATAGACATGACCCAGCCCCGAGCTAAGAGGCCTGAGGTCTGCACACAGTGCATGTGGTCAGTGTATGAGAGGCTGCAAGTCAGGCTTGGGGGCCGCATATGAAAGAAAGTACAAGACACGGAGCTGACAGCAGACAAGAAGGCCTGACAACCTGTGCAGTTCACTGGCAGGAAATGCTGATCTGGGCTTTTCAACACTATTGAAACGTGTGAAGTTTTACTGCTTCGAGTACAGAAATCCAACCTCAGGTCATAAACTGTGACTGCCATTTAGAAAGAACAGATAGTTTTTATTATATGGAGGGACTTACAAATAATGAGATCCTTCTGTCTCAGCCTCCTGAGAGGCTTTAAGGGCATGTTCTACCTCACTTGGCTAGCCTGGTCTCTTTAGCATTATCACCATTATTCCTTAAACTTTTAATTTTCCAGAAATAAAACTTGCCTTTCTGTATTTTAGGTGACAGCAAACACCAGCTTAAGCCAAAATTAAAGTATCACAAAAATCTAAATGTATTAGGTCTTAATAACAGTTTGCTCTGTTAGTAAAACTGGCAAATTGAACTTGTTTTTTTTTGAGAACGCCAATTAGAAACTGGACCAAGCAATTTGTTAGACTGACAGGCGTCTCGTACGCCTTTGGCTGTGTGGCTATGACCCTGGTTTTTTCAGCTAGAGATTAAGGTTTATATTTCCTTGATTGAAATGAATTCTGTGGAGCAGTCAGCATTGATTTCTGCCAAAGTCACCCTGGTGTTGACGCGCTGCAGCCTCCTGTTAGTGTGATTATTACCATAATCTCTCTGTGTCTTCTACAGAAACGTCGCATAATACAGTCCAAAGCAAAGCCATTTGCATTCATTTTTATATCTGCTTTCTGTCATGGGCTTAGTATTAAGATTCATCATAGTTCTATTAGCCTTTGTTAAGGATCTGAAACAGTAGGCTTTGGGATCTGGAGCCCGGAGTTACATATACCATTTTCCGGGTGACACTCAGGATTTAAGTCAATGGTCATTCTCTGTCACCCAGATCACTAGGGGCACCTCTGACATCCATTCTTGAGGAGTATAAAAGTGAAAGAGTTCATGTTTCACACTATGCATTCTGTGACTGGGAGATGGTACTGAGTATTTAGTACTTTTAGTGTATCTGCAGATGTCAATGTATATCTGTTTGAAAAATAAAATTTATATCCAACACAGAATGACTGGATGACAGAGTAAGAAAAGCTGATAAGTCCAGTTCCACATTTCTAGATGGATAAAATCTTGGGCCGGCCAAATAGCTCAGAGGATTAAAGTGCCTGCAAGCGGGCGCAGGGGCCAGGGGCTTAATCAGGGCGTGCTGAGTTGGCAGTTGAGACTGGGCATGGTGACGTGTGCCCGTGATCCCAGCTCTTGGGAGGCTGTAAACAGGTGGATCACTATGAGTCTGATCTAGTAGTAAGACCCTGAACACCCTGTAGACCCTTCCCTAAAATACAAAAAAGAAAAGAAAATCCAATATCTCTAGCTCTGGTACAAATGTATTTTATCACTTGATTCTGGACCAGGATCAAAAGGAGCTGACCAAATAGAAATTAGCATGTCTATATGGCACAACAGGGCAAGCTAGTGGCCTGGAACCAGAGACCCTGGGTTCTTGCCTCAACTCTGCCAGTTGCTCATGATGTCCTTGACCAAGCCCTTGCACCTCTCTGGGTCTCAGCATCTTTGTACATGAAGAAAGGCTAAACAATCTCCACAGTCTTTCCCAATTAAACTCTACAATCCATAGAATGCCTTTTCTCCTGCCAAATATCAAAATGCTTTTTAATTTTATGTATGCAAAATATAAACTAAGAACAAGGAATCCTCTTTAAGTGGAGGAAAAATGTGTCTTCCTTAGGGGAAAGCGTGGATTCCTAGTGGCTAGTGCTTGCTTATGGACTTAGAAAGGACAATTCAAAGTAACATCTTCATAACAAAAAGATAACAGGGGCTTGAAAACCCCTCCAACTGTCCAGTCCTTGGTATAGTACAGGACTCAGGTGTTGCCATATTTCAAATAGATTATCCAAAGATCTTTGATGTCTTGGTCTTTAAGACATTTGGCATATTTTTTTTTTTTCTGCTAAGTGTTGGCTCCACTTTTTAAGCGAGATTCCAGCTCCTCTGATTACCTTCTGCTAGTATAAAAATCCCCCTCATGTAGCCAGTGTCTCAAGTGATCCCTCCCACAAACCTCCTGCTGAAGCTTGGCTAGACCAGCAGTGATGGGCAAATTATCCGCATCTACATCTCCTGCCCAAAGAAAACTCTACCATCCCTAGGTGCAAACAGCGCCAGAAGCAGGAACATTGCTACTATATAACACACAGCTCGGCTTTGTCTGGATCTCTAGACACGACGATGACGTCCAGCACTTCAAGGTCATGCGAGACAACAAGGGTAATTACTTCCTGTGGACTGAGAAGTTTCCATCCCTAAATAAGCTGGTGGACTACTACAGGACAAATTCTGTCTCCAAACAGAAGCAGATCTTCCTGAGGGATAGAGCCCAAGAAGATCAGGTACACTTCTGGCCCAACAGTCACCTTTGAACTAGAGATTTCAGGCAGTGTGAGTTTCCCCATAAATCACCAAGAAAATGCATTTGGTGGGCAGGTCCCCTGCGCATTCTCAAAGGCCAGATAACTGAGGTCAAGTCTCAGCTTTAATCTTGACCTCACATTTCCTAGCTATGAGGCTTCGGAAGTTTCTCTAATTCCTAATTTCCTCGTCCATAAAATGGGAATAAGAACACATCATATCACAGGAAGTTATGAAGGTAAAAGAATATAATACACCTCCATCTCCTCCTACATCATCTCTGGTCACACTGCAAATATTCCATAATAGTAGTTCTTACTGGGGTGTTATTATTTTGTTATTCTCAAGCATTGGCACACCACTGTTTGCAGCCCCTAGCTCAAGAGCTGCCCAAGGATGGAATCCAGGGTATAAACAGCGATATTAGAGTCATCCAAGAGGCCAGGGTGACAACAGAAGCTTTGTGACAGTCTTGAGTTAGAATCAGTGGGACATTGTAGGGGAAAACCAGTCTTGGGATTCTTGCTAATACAGTATTATTCAATAGAAATGCATCCCAAGGGCCAAGGGAGATAGCTCAGTGGTCTAAGTGCCTGCCTGGCAAGCGCAAGGACCTGGGTTTGATCCCCAGTACTGCATGCCATGCCAGCCCCAAAACTGGACATGGTGGTACATGCCTGTAATCCCAGGACTGGGGAGGCTGACACAGGAGGATTATTACAAGCCCAATTTGCATAGCAAGACCCTGTACCAAATACATGAATAAGTAAAAAAAGATTTTTTTAATCAAAAAAAATGCATCCCAAAAAACATAGAAAAAAGAAAGAAAGAAAGAAAGAAAGAAAGAAAGAAAGAAGAAAGAAAGAAAGAAAGAAAGAAAGAAAGAAAGAAAGAAAGAAAGAAAGAAATCAGTCTAAACTCTGGGGCCCAGGGAGATAGCTCAGTAGAATAAGCACTTGCCTGGCAAGCGCAGGATCCTGCAGGGTCCTGAGTTCAATCCCTGGTACTGAAAAAAAAAAAAAAAATTTGAGGGCTCTTTGAAGCCAAAAGATTCCATGACGATTTTGTGTACAAGGTTGCTTTCAGAATCAGCTACACGTTAGAGTCGATTTCAAGAGTCATTGAGTGGGATGCACCTTTGGGCATTTAAGAAAATGCTTTGTATATTTGAACAGTGAACATTAAAAAGAAAGACACTCCTAAAACTTTAGACCGAAAAAATTTTGGACTAATATAGTTCCACAGCATTTATAAATTGTACGTGTTAATCACCTTCTTACAATTATTGTGTGAATTTAAAATTGCAATAGGTAAAAATGCTGGAGACAATCGGCAGTGAATCTAAAAGCAAATAAAAAATAAAATTCATTACAAGATTATTTAAATGATTTGAAGATACAGTTCAGGGGGGGGAAGCATATAAAAACTACACAGGCCTGGGGAGATAGCTGAGCGGTCTAAGCGCCTGCCTGGCAAGCTCAAGTACCCGGTTCTACCCCCGGTACTGCATGCATGCTGGCCGCGGAATCCTGCGTGGCAGGTCTATAATCCCAGCGCTGGGGAGGCTGACACAGGAGGATCAGTACGACTCCGAGCAGCATAGCGAGACCCTGTACCAAATAAATAAAAGGTTTGAATTTTTTTTTAAAAAAACCCTCTGATTCAATCAGTAAGTTCCTATACTACTTACTCAAGTTAAGAAACTTTTCTATTAGTTTTTTCATTGATAGAATAGAGAGAACAATAATAGCTCCTTCACTGGGCTCTCATAGGGATTAAATACAATATAGCCGCTGCTCTGCCACAGAACCTGGTTCACAGTGAGCCAGCAAGGAAACAGTAATGTCTCCTGTAGGCTAATATCCACATGTGTGCGCACAAGCACACTATCTAAACTATTTCTAAAAGGAAAAACTGGGTTATAAGATACAAGTGTTATCGGAAGAAGCCTTGACCAGACTAGTCAGAACCCGTTCCTAGGAACAGGTCGTCTGAAGAGCTTTGGGGAGGAAAAGGAAATCCTCCCCTCCAAGCCACCAGCTGTTTTGAACGCTGAGAAATTATAGTCAAAAGAGGAACACAGGAGTTCAGAAAGGAAAACAAAAGCTAACAAAACTTTGTGCATCATTTTAGCCAGGAAATGGACAGAGGTATTAATTTACTAGGATATGCGGTTCAAGATAAGAGAGGCACGGAGAATTGCATTAAACTGGATTAAGTGAGTTAATATTTGTAAAGTGCTGGCATGTACTAAGCCCAGGGCTTCATGTAGTTATTTGTTAAATAAAAATAACAATAAACTATTTCTGGTTCCCGAGTTGTCTCAGCACGAACTAGAAAGGCCTTGCTCCTTCCCAACATGCCCAGCGGCAGGCCTGGTTTCCATGGTGCTGTCAGAATGCTGCTGTTGGGGTCTCTATCACCAGGCTATAAAAATGACAGCTCAAAATCATGCAAAGCCCACAGCAGAGCTTATCTGGAGGGCAGGATGTCTAGCAGTGTGGCAATGTGATAAGGAGGGGTGGCAGTGTGTCAGTGAAATGGAATATTTCAGCTTGATTGCGCAGAGAAAAAACAAAGCCACTAGAAATGGACTGAATGGGTCCCACGTGGAAAGAGTGTCTCTCAACCAGGCACCAGAACTCCTAAAACTAAGAAAACTCTGAAAATGTAGAGGCCACTTTTGACAATGTGGGGGTCCCAACCGGTGATTCTCTTTGCGCTCTCCTACCCTCGCCAGAAACTCTCGCTTGCAAAGCTGTTATTTGCAAAGACAGCGAGAGAGGTCTAGAAGCTGCCACAGGAGGGTGGGGGTGGGGATGGGAGGTAGGAGGAGGGGGTTCTGCATCCTCATCTCTGTTCTCACTCCCAGGGTCACCGGGGCAACAGTTTGGACAGGAGGCCCCAGGGCGGCCCACACCTCAGCGGAGCAGTGGGAGAAGAAGTCCGGCCTTCCATGAACCGGAAGTTGTCAGATCACCCACCTGCGCCTCCCTCCCAGTGCCACCAGCACCAGCCGCTGCCCCAGCCCTTCACCCCAGTCCCGCAGCCGCTACCTCAGCAGCGGTACTTGCAACATCAGCATTTTAGCCAGGTAATCTGCGAAGAATGGAGTGGTCGCTGGTGAATTGGGAAGGAGGCCGTACCCTCCCTCCCCCAAGCTTGCAGGAGGGGAACAACAACTCAGGCCTGGCTGGGTCTCACAGGGTCTCACAGAGTTCATGAAAAAGATCCTACACCGCTCCCCCCCCAAAAAAAATAGAAAGTGCTCTGGGCAAAGATGTATCTGTGAGCTGTGTGACTCCTTGACACACATGCGTGCACACATAGACACGCACGCACACACACACACACACACACACACACCCCTTCATTCTGAGGACTCAGTGAACAGTTGGTTCACTTTCCCATCAGCAGAACTCCGTATCTGTTTATGCCCCTTAACCCACCTGGCTGTGGAGATCTGAAAGTGCAGAAGAAAGTAAGGATTAACGCCCACAATGGAGCCTTGCTTATATATTTATTTTATTTATCTCCTGCGAGTTCCAGATGGGATTTCAGGCTACTTGCTGAGAGGGACAATGGAGCCCGATAACGTGATTCCTAAATACCTTAGCAGGGTACGCAAAGTCTTTGTGAGCTACCCCTATTTACTCCCCAGCCTCCTTTCCTGCCACCTGGCCCCTCCACACACACAGACACAGATCTCAGCAGCACCTTTTGTTACCAGCATGATGGTTCACTGTACTTTATAAGCTGTACCCTCTGCCTGAAAGAGTGTTTTCCTGGCCAGTCTGCCCCATCAAATACACTCTGTGTTTTTATTTAACAAAAAGAAAAAATATATATATATTTGGAGACAGGATCTCAGTAAGTTGTTAAATTGCCCAGGCTGGGCTTGAACTTTCTGTTCTCCTTCCTCAGCCTCCCAGAGTGCTGGGATTATAGGTGTGCCCCACCACCCCTAGCCAGTCAGCTTTCTCTTTTAAGCTGGAGTTCGCTTTGAGGCCTCCCCTGGCTTAACCCAGGCAGACCCCTTCACTCTCTGCCTGCTCACTTTCACGTGTACAGTGGCCCCTTCAGAGGAAGCTGCAGGGGGCAGGAGCACAAGGTAAGTGCCTTGTAAATATTTCTTCTTTTTGGGGGCAAGTACCAAAATCGAACTCAGGACCTTGCCCTTGCCTGGCAGGCACGTGTGCCACTGAGTTATCTCCACAGCCTTTCTTTCTTTAATGCCAGAAAAAAAGAACTTACACACTTATTACATGCCTCTGACAAGGGGGCACGAGACTCCCCTTAGTATTTCTTTAACTGAATGCATGAAGCCCTGTGGCCTTTGTCTTCAGAGTCTAAGTCCCTTCATCCTCCCTCCCCTCCCCTCCCCTCCATCAGCCAGGGCTTGTGGGGGGCACGTAGGAGACGCTCCTGGTAGTTGGATGATGGGCTCTGCGCATGTGTCTAGGACCGCCGTGGAAGCAGCCTGGACAGCAATGACGGGCCCTGCGGCCTGGGCGTGGGCAGCGAGATGAGCGCTGCGCTCATGCACCGGAGACACACAGACCCGGTCCAGCTCCAAGTGGTGGGGGTAAGTGGGCCGCGTAAGCCAGGGAGCGAGCCGGCAGCCCACGCCGGGCTCTGGGGCTCAGTCTGGCTGTCGGCCCAGCCCTGTTCTCATATATCTTGTGTCTAGTTCTGGCAGCGGGAGATTGGTGGCCTTTATCCTTGTCATCCATCTTGACTAGGGACTTGATCAAACTAAACTCAGAGGATGTTCTTTTGGGCATGTTGCCATCCTGTTTGTCACCCGAAGAAAATAAAAATAGCACCTTTGATGTAGACAGGAGGTCTCGGGGATTCCCTTGAGGCCTTAGAGAGAAACACCGCTGTCAGTACAACATCTCAATCCTGGGGCTGGGATGTAGCTCAGTGGTAGAGGGTTTGCTTAGTATATAAGAAGCCCTGGCTTTGATCCTCAGCACAGCATACACAAAACAAAAGCCCCAAGTCTCAAGAAAGAAGCTAGGAGCTAAGAGTAGTGGCTAATGCCTATAATCTCAGCATTCTGGGAGACTGAGGCGGGAGAATCCCAAGTTTGAGCTCAGCCAGGGCACTTTAGCAACTTGATGAAATGCTGTCTCACCATAAAAAAATAAAAAAAGCTCTCTCTGTGTTGCTCCTGGGTTCTTCAATCTCCACTACTGTACTGAAGGAAAAACAAGAAGCAGCAGCCAGGGACCTCTGGTAGCTTCCTACTCAGGCCGTGCATGCCAGGTGTGAGGGGACCCCTCAGATCCCTGACCATCCCTGGGCCAGCCACAGCTCAGCAGACCTTCTCTGTGCTTCCCCAACAGCGTGTGCGGTTGGCCCGGGCACTGTACGACTTCGAAGCCCTCGAGGAGGACGAGCTGGGATTCCGCACTGGACAGGTAGTCGAGGTCCTGGACAGCTCCCACCCCTCCTGGTGGACCGGCTTGCTGAACAACAAACTGGGCCTTTTCCCGGCCAACTACGTGGCACCCATGATGAAATGAACACTTTGGGGTCCAGGGCTTTTTGTCTGAAGCTGCCCACAAGAGGGGGAGCAAGAGCTGGACCCCACGACTGCATCCACATGCTTGAGCCTTCAGGCATGTGAGTACATGCCTACCGGTTCCAAACAGCATCTATAAGCACACCTATGTGTGCGCACATTTTATAATAGTATTTATTGACAATGGGATTGGGTAATTAATTGATCTGAAAGGGAACACAGGTGGAGAAAGATATTCAGACGTCTTCATCTGCTCCTCTCAAGGGTGTGTAGAAGGCAGCAGGGGGAAGTGGGAAGCACAGGCAGGGGGATGATACAGAACTTTCTGTCCCTGGTCTCTCCCCAATTCCTCTCTGGCTGGGGAGATTTCCCAGAGAGCAGCTAAGCAGAGGCCACATGCCTGGCCACAGCCAAAGAACAGCAGGGAGGGACTGGACGTGGTGGGGCATGTTGGGGCTCACCTGCGTACCCACGCACCTGGAGGGCTCACAGGGCAGCTCACCACCATTCTCCACCGCTGCACTAAGGTAGAGCCCATCCAGGCCCACAGGCACCAAGCAAGTCTGAGCAGGAAGCGAGCAGGGCAAGGACTGCAGCAGCAACAACACAAGGCAGTCCCTGCCACAGCAAGTCTGGGCTCCTAGCCGCTGCCGCCAGCAAACGCTCCTTGGGTAGCAAGCTTTTCCCTGTGGTGGACGGGAGAGTGTCTCTAATGTGGAGAAACAAAGATGGAGATGCCTCCGACAGGTGCCAAGCGCGGAGAAGCAGGGGGAGTGGATTTTATACAGAGCCCCTGGGGCCTACTTGGCTATAACCTCCGTTTCCCCAGCTACAAGGAAAGCAGCATCCTGGATTCTGTCAAGTGTTTGGAGAAGCACTGGCTGAAAATGCAGAATGCTAGAGTCATTGTTTGACAGCTTCGAGGGTGTCTCTGCATGGCTCTGTTCATTTTTTCTCTTGATTTCCTATGCTTAAAGCTTCATTGCCCAGCGGCAGAGAGAAGCCAAGAGCCTTGACTATGGATCGATAGATGGATTGATGGGTTGAGTGTGACTTAGGGCGAGAGCTGGCTTGAAAAGAGCTTCCTGATCCATAGGACTGCTGAACCTCTGCTGGCCAAGAGGTGCCCCTGGGGAGAGGAACCTCACTGCCACTGTCCCTCCTCTACACCTGAAACAACAATGGTGTGTCCTAGTGCCAATGCTGGGCATGCAAAGCACAGCTCAGCCTGGGAGGTGAGCAGCAGGGACCTGGAGAGGAATCTCTGTGCCTTAGCAGAGCCTGGGAACACACATTTTCCACGGGGTACTCTTTGAAGGAATGTGTGGGGGCACATGGCTGTGTGTGTGCATACATGTGTGTGCTGAGACAAGAGAAAAAAGGTTGGGGTGGTGTTAGTGAGGATACGTGGTGGGGGCCCGAAGCCTTTGCTCCTTCTCCCAGCCCTTCCTGCTGTAGGGAGGAACAGAAGAGCAGCCATTAGTTCACTTGATAAAAGAAGAGTGCTTCTGACTCAGAAGGGACTTCCAGTGTAACGGCAGCTCTATCTCTTGTGACTCTGAGTCTACAGTTCTCTGATCCTCGTGTTCACGTTAGAGACTGGGGGAAGAAAGGGCTCTGTAGTGGGAACTGGGAGGGAAGGGAAAATAGCCTGGAAGGGTTGGGGAAGCAGAGGGTAAGTTAGGAGCGGCTGCAGCCTTCAAAGGCGAAGGCAGGGTGAAGAGAAGAGGTGAGCATTTTAGTGGATCTCAGAGCCTGGGAGAGGCAGAGGGAGGGAAGGGAGCAAGAGGTCAAGCGGGGGTGTGAAGACAGGCACAATAAGGGTCTGAGCCCCCAGAAAGGGCCTGGGGGAGGGGATTGGAGCAGGGCAAGGAGCAAAGATTCCCCGGAAGAAAGAAGCAGTGGAAGGGGGCCAAGGCACAGTGGACCTCATCAGCCATCTTGGTGCGAGGTAAAACATTGCAGTAAATAAAAGCCCAAAATAATGTTGATTTGACAGTATTTGCAAACCATATGCTTTAAACAGCCCACCAACTTCATCCATTTGTCAGGTTCTGTGGGAGGACCAGCCCCGGTTAAGACAGAGACAAATTATTCGATTCTGGTCTGGTTCTTGTGCCTGGGAACACTTTGCTAGAAGGCAGTAACAAAGCAGTGACTTGTTCAGCTGGGTTGTCTTCGGTGTCTCTGTGTAAGGGGGAAGGGATGGGGAGGGGCCCAAGGGTCCTTGGGCTGCACAGGCTGACCATGCAGGTGAGTGGCATGAGCAGGACCTCAGAATGCCTGGAGCCAGGCACCCTGTTCTAGCAAGGACCATTGTGGGAGTGTGTGAGAGTATTGTAGGTTGAGGTGCTCAAACTGCCTTGCATAGCACCAGCGTGGTTCAATCTCAAAGGTCACAGGAGAAAGTCACACAAGCCACCACACTGAGCAGGACACGTAGGGACTAAGCTAAGAAGATAAGACCAAACTCTTTACACTGGGTGGGACAGGGTGCAAGCTCAACCCTCCTTGAAACCTCTGCTGCTGCTGTGTGGTGGTGAGTGGCACATGAGGGGTTGCTCCCCTGCCCCCATCCGTACCCCAGTTTCTGCTGTCAGCATTTCAGGGGTGAATGCTAGGGCACATTCACCCAGTGCCTCTCACTGGTGACATGACCAGCACATTGCCTCTGATTTGGGCTGCAGTGGTCTTAGTGGCTTCAGGGCAGGGAATTTCCAGAGAAAAACCAGTTCCTGTTGGGCCAGTTGAGTTCCCCTAACTGCCTGCTAAGGCTCCCTGTATGTCAACTATCTGGCACTTGCCCCTGCCCACCCACTTTTAGACAGTCTCACAATGAGCTAAAGTGGCTGCTTCTCAAATCTTCAAGTGCCTATGAATTGCCTGGGGATCATGCTAAAAAAAAAAAAAAAATGGAGCTGCTGATTTGATCCTGAATTTCTAACCAGCTCCCAGGTACTGCTCCCAGGCCCACACCAGGGGCTTCGAGAGCAGAGAACTTGGCAGTGAGCTAAACAGCTACATACATCTAATTGGATTCTAATAATTGGATTCCTTTGCTGGGATGTTCAGTCATTCTCTGTCATTGATGAAGAAATCACTTCAGCTTTGGGACAGACACAGTTGACAACTGTCTTCATGACATCATTCATGTCTGACAGCCCAATGGTTTCCCATCTTCATCACTACCAGGAATCAAAAACTTTCTGAGTAGCAAGTATTCAGATGAAACGCAAGCTGGAACTTCCTGATGGTGACTACGGATTTCGGAGAGCAGAGGTTACCGAAGTTGTAAAAGCTTTCTCAGGAAATCTTTAAACATAAAATTGAGGCCCATCATACGGGGCTCTAAGTGAGTCAAGGGTAGGCGTGTCTGTGACCTCTCTGCTAACCTGCTGGTGCCTGTCTGTAGTCCCAAGTGCTCAGAAAATAGAAGCAGGAAAGCGCCTCAGCCCAAGAGTTCAAGGCCAGCCTTGGGAAAACACCCAAATCCCGTCTCAAAAGATAAAATAAGGGTCGGGGAGATGGCTCAGTAGAATAAGTGCTTCCCTGGCAAGTGCAAGGGTCTGAGTTCAATCCCCAGTTGCACCAAAAAAAGAAAAGAAAAGAAAAGAAAAGAAAAGAAAAGAAAAGAAAAGAGCTCCCCTAACCAAAGCAAAACAATCCATATCAGGGATGGATGGGAACAATGAAAAAAATATTTGCTGGTTAATTTGTGTAAAGGTCACACAGCTGTCTATACTACAGCATGGGGTGTGGGAAAAATCTTTGTTGCCTCACTTCTCTTAAAAAATACTTCTCAAGTTCTTCCTCTTCATCACCACAGCCATGCACACCACCCTCAGGCCACTCGCAGGCAACTGTGTTACCCTCCATACTTCCCCCTGCCTTCCCTGTTGTCCCCAGTACATTCTACACACACACACACACACACACACACACACACACACACACCCCAGGGTAGTCTTTGTACAAATAAATCTGATCACACCACTCACCTTCCCATTGCATTTAACCCCTAACCCAAAGGCCTAAGAGCCCCTGTAGGGTTGACCCCAGCTGGGATCTCTCTCCAGCTGCCTCTGGTGCCGTACCCACTCTGCCGTTGTAGCTCTGCCCCACTCCCCTCCTTTTAACCTCCAGATGGGCAAGCATTTGTCCCTATACCTTCCACACCTTCACATCCCTCTGTCTGGAATTCACAGCCTCTGTTCTTCACCTTCTAACTTGAGTTCAAGTCTGGCTTTAAAACATTGCTTCCCCACACATCCCTCTCTGGCACCTAATTTGAAATAATCCCTCCTAGAAGACTGTCTCATGGATCCCATGCTTTCCCTGAATGGCACACATGCAGATGGTGGCACTAAACTGAGTCAGGTGACTATCGGACTGTGTTTGGTAAACCTTTGTACGTCCAGCATCTCACACTGCGTGGCACACAGATGCTCAATAAATATATGTCTAATGTCTAAGGAATAAACAAGTGAAGCTGCCTCCTCTCATCTATTCATTCAGTACAGACCCCTAGATGCAAGCATGGTGATATTAACACAGTGTTCATGTGACAGTGGCTTTACCACTTGCTGTCAGTTCCCCTCTAGGTACTTCTGAGAGTCCAAGAGAGGGAGACTTGTACCCTCCCATGTATTCAGACACCGGGAAGCTTGCATCTCCTACTCCAGGCATGTTCTGGTGCCCACACCCCCCTGCTGACAGTCTTTCTCGGTACTGTACTTCTATTCTGCATCACTTTTCCATGCTAGTGATATGGCCAGTCCTTCAGGATACAGAGTCATACTGTGGTCCTCATGGCAAGGAGGCTGAAGGCGAGGCGTGGTGGCATGCACCTGGAATCTCAGCACTCTGGAGGATGAGGCAGGAGGACCACCGAGAATTCAAGGCCAGCCTGGGCAACTTAGTGAGTTCAGGGCCAGCCTGAATTACACAGCAAGACCCTGTCTCAAAAATGCTCCCGAAAAGAAGATTGAGAAGGGGTAGGCTGGAGAATGCCAGCACCCAGTCCTGGAGTGCGCTGCTTAGGCCAGGGTGCCTAGCCATCTTCTACAAGAAGCTTGTTCTCTTTACAGCCAAGTTCTCTCTCATCAGACAGAGCAGGGCATGCAGATCTCCTTGACCATCTCTCTTATGTCTTTCTTCTTTCCCCGGAGCCCTTTTCTCCTTCAACGGAAAAGTACACCCAGATGCCCCTTTTGTGTGTACAGTAGGTAGCATGCAGGGGCCCCCAGCAGTGTGCGGTGCTCCCAGTGGTACAGTGTGGCCGCTGCTGCAATTTATCCACTAAGTCAACATGTGTTTACAAAGCACCCCCGACACAGGGGTCCTTCACACGGCTGCACTCTGTCCCCTCTGTGTCTGCTTCAGCCACTGCCCCACTTTACACCTCTCTCACTTCCCTGCTAGGTGACTGCAGTAGGCTCCACACTGGCCTTCCTGGCTGGCCTTCCCCGCTGCTGCCAGAGAGCTCTTATTAGCAGAAAGAATGACATCAGGCTCTTGTTCAAATCCTGCAGGGGCTCCCCACAGCTTTCAGGCTGGGGCTTAAACTCCTTAGCGCAGCACTAAAGGCGTTTTGTGAGCTGGCAGATGCCTGTTTGTTCAGTCACATCTCTGCTCTCTGGCGCTCTCTCCTTCAGTGCCACTGAACTATCTGTGGAACCAGAATGAGTCACGTTGCGTCTGACCTCAGTCTCCCATGTTCTGTTCCTTTTGCCTCAAGTGTCTCTCTCCCACTTTTTATCTAGACCAGCGCTGTCCAAGATTCTGCAACAATGGAAAAGTTCCATATCTGCACTGTGGGAGGTACATGTCACTGCTGATTACTGGAAAAATGGATAATGTGAACAAGCAAAAGAGACACCTGGGCACATGTGACTAGTGGCTACCTGACTGGGCAGCATGAAGACAACTGTGACACTGAAATACTTAACACAGGGCTGACGGTGGTCTCTGGAACCATCCCAGTGTCATGGCTGATCTTGTTCTGCCATCCCTGCATTTAGAACCTTTTTGTATA